TCTCTCTCTCACACACACACACACACACACACACACACACACACACACACACACACACACACACACACTCTGCTGCACCCGACAGAAAGTTAACTTCACAATTAGCGTGTGGTTGATGGCACCCACCATCCGAGGCACCTCCCCCATCGACACCAGGTACGTTAGGTCCATTTACGCTCGATCACAATCTTCTTCTTCCCCTCCTACTCTCTTACCCCATTCTCTCCTTTTCTTCGATGACAGTGCCGCCTCCTCCCCCTCCTGGCCCGATCTGGGTCAGATGAAGTGGCAGCGGGAACCCATCGCACTCGGGAAGAGGCGCTGCAAGGTACGTACACCGACCCTCCTCCTCTCCCTCTTTCCTCCTCTCTCTGTTACTACGTCCCTTCCGCCAGGCATCACCCCTTTCCAATACACGTGGTCCTGGTTGCGACCAGGTTCAAAGAAAGAATTTTAAAAAATAAAAACAATAGTTAGGACGGTGATTTGCAGGAAGAGACTGTCAGTTGAGGCAAGAACAACGAATGTGTCCCGACCCGAGAGCTATCAAACACAGACATCAACCTGCAAAGACGATGATGATCAGGGAACGACGGACGGAGGTGTTCTTGCGAGGAACTGCTACGGCAATAGCTGCTACCGATGATCAGGGAACGAGGGAGGCGATTCATTTAGTCTTTTTTTTTCCCCTACACCCGAGAACGAGGAACGAATGCCCCCTCAGCGTCGCCGCGGGCCATCACCCCTATCCCTCCCTCCTCGACCCCCTCATACTCGTACATAAGAGTAATTCACCATCTTTCGAATCCCAGCAAGCATGCTCACATCTCGGCTGATCTGCAGCGTGCTGTCATCCACGCGCTCAGCTGAGCTCTCTCTCTCTCTCTCTCTCTCTCTCTCTCTCTCTCTCTCTCTCTCTCTCTCTCTCTCTCTCTCTCTCTCTCTCCGCATTCACATAGGCAGTTCCCTCTCTCTCTTCCTATGCTTCCTCCCTGATCCCTCCCTCCCCCTCTCTCTCTCTATCCATAAGCATGGAAGTCGACGCATGTGAAGGAAGGCAAAGACACTCCACCTGCTTCTCAAACGAACGAGAGACTCGAAGCACCCTTCTGACGTCAGACCACGTCCGAATTATACTGTCGCCTTTTCGCCGCAATGCTTTATCAGGGGAGATTTCCACTTGGAATCCGCCTTCAAGTTTGCCCCCCAGGTTGGAGTCCACCACCCTTGCCTCTCCCATCGTTTCTCCAAGATGCTCAATTTCTTACCAGCTATCGAGATCGAAGGGCCCTCAAGTAAAGTAGTCATTTTTTTCTTCCACTCTTCCATTCCCAATGCAGTCCTTTTGAAGAGACTACTGATCCGCTTGACGTACGGCGTACGGTACAAAAAGGCGACACGAGCAAACAATCTATTTATTTTATTTTACTTTATTTAGCAACCAATCTAAATCTAAACAACATCTTTTCAGTTTTTCTTCTCAACGTGCGTCCGCACGTTACACCCATCCTCCCGCTCACTCTACTTTCCACGTTGCCATGCAGAAGTAGGATGGGTGTAACGTGCGGATGCACGTTGAGAACCCGTCGTTGCCATGCAGAAGTAACCGCGACACTGTAGCCCACAATGTCGTCGAGAACCCTACGCGGCGGGCTCAACAATTGACCACGTCTTCCTCTCTACCTGTCTATGGCAAGGACGAGCAGGAGGAAGAGGAGGAGAACGAAGAGGAGGAGGAGAAGAAGAAAGAGGAGGAGGAGAAGAAGAAAGAGGAGGAGGAGGAGGAGGAGAAGGCGAGTTCGACGGAGGGTGGGAGGAGCGGTAGAAACACACCTGGGCCAAAGGAGGGCGATAGTCGTCGGCAGCGATGGCGGCTCCCCGACCTTGGCTCCCAAGGTCATCGCGGCCGGGGAAAGCGAACGAAAAGGCAATGGTGAAATATGGGCGGCGCTTCAACACAAAATGAGAACGCGCCAACGGGCCTTAGCTCAGTTGGTACACCCATGAAGTCTTGAAATTCAGCCCAGGGTTCGAATCCGGATGTAATCAAAATTGCCTACCTTCTTCCCCCGAACATAACGCACCCTGATAATGACTGCATACAAGCTATATTTCCGGTCAGGTACGGCGGAAATGAGGGTGTGTTGTGTTCGGGGGAAGACAGTAGGGCCGGTTAGTTCAGTGACGATATCTCAAGGCCGTTGCCCTTTTTAGGGCTTCGTTCGACACCACTTAAAAATACTTGAATTTCAAGTGCACACTAAACGAGAAATTGTGATGAATTTAGACTTAGGGCCTCCCTGCACTACTCTTGAAAGGTGCAAAACAAGTGTGAATCTTCCGCTAGAACATGGAAAGATACAGCGACATGATTTTTGTCTTTTGTGCATTTCAAGAGTAGTGCAGCGAGGCCCTTATACTCGATTTATGGTTCCATGTACACTTGAGGAAACCCTTGAACAGGCTGCACTTGAAACCGAACTCCACGGCTTGCTGACCAATCCTGGACAAGGACCCTCTGCTGGAAAAAATAGGAAAACCAAACACAGGCCCCACTTGGAGTGCTGGCGGTATCCGCTGGCACTTGAACTCAAGGTACCTCCGAGAGGTGACTGGAATTCAAGGGCAGTTTTGGCTGCATTGCCCTGGAGTTTCAAGGATGCACCCTTGGGACGCAAAAAAGTGAAAACAAAGAGGGGCCCGGGGGGGGTGGAACGATGAATTTTTATTATTTATTAATTTTTGGACCGTTTCTTTATGACACCGTTTCTTGATTTATGTGTGTCATCCTTGCGCAGGGCCCATGCTAATCTTCTCTGTATCGTTCCAATTTTAACGGATGTCCCGAAGGATAGGAACGATGATTTGGGCTTCGCTCTTGAACTCAAGTGGTGTGGAACGAGGCCCTTATCTGAACAAATGGACCCAGCGCGGCGAACCCGAATCCCAGTCCTGTCTATACACTGCAGGCCTATGTCCTGTCTATACACAGCAGGCCCCAGTCTTGTCTATACACGGCAGGAAACATGGCAATGTCCGTCTGTGTATGTGTGTGTGTAGGATGAGAAAACTCGGAACAAATCTTCAGCCAGGACATGGAAATACACACTGCCTCACTTTTTCTTTTTTCCTTTTTTCCATCTGTGCATCCATTGAGCAGCCTGGCAATGTGCAAAATGAAAAGAAATCTTCCGCAAAAACATAGGAAGATACACGTGACGGACATACATTGAAAATAAATCCCAGTGTGAGTATGGACAAAGGAGTTGTCAGATGCAAATGTCACAGCGAGAGAGAGAAAGAGAGAGAGAGAGAGAGAGAGAGAGAGAGAGAGAGAGAGAGAGAGAGTTTCATGCATAGAATGAGCAAGATGGGGATGAATCTGTCGCTAGAACATGCAAATATACACTGCCACATTTTTTTTCAAAACCGGTTGTACACGGCCGCAGCCTTACAGAAAGTTTTTGTCACCACAAGGAAAACTCGGAGGTGTCACGCTGTCGGCGTGAATACCCTTACAAGGGTATTCACGCGTGTATTTGCACTCCGCATAAGTTGCACCTGAGATGATATAAAAAGTTAGAACTTAGGTAAGTATCAAGCGTCTCACGCTCGACTCTTTGTAGCCGAACTATGAGGCGTGCAAGATGAGATTAGAGGGTGTGTGGTCCCGCTAATATAAGGCGCGGATGACTTTTCTTATACCGGATAGGGTTAGCACGGTTGATGACGAGTAAGTGTGGGTCGAGCGTGGAACCCAGTAACCGCACGATAGAAATACACTGGTTTTCGCAGTCGGGAATCCGACTGGTACCCTGAAGTGCGGCCTTTGGAGTTTCTTCATATCGTCGTGCGGTTGGTCGAACATGTTTATAAGGTCTTCCAATAGTGTCAATGCCAGCCTTAGGCATAACACTATCGGTTATGGTGTTCAACTTTCAAGTAATAAGTTCGGGGATAGAGGCCAGCAACCGGCGACGGAGGAATGGCGAAGCACTATAAAGGGAATTGAGGGGTTGAGTACCCGATGGGGCTATCCCTTTTAGTTTTGTTGCCAACCTCGACAATTGGCCTATTTGGTGAGGACAAAAAGAGTTACCGGTGAGTTTTCTCTCCCCTAACATCACCTTCTCGTTTGATTTTGCTAGTTTCATTATTAATTTATTTTGTCGGTCCCAAGAGGTACCGGTGAGTTCTCTCTCCCCTAACCTCACCTTCTCGTTTGATTTTGCTAGTTTTATTATTAATTTATTTTGTCGGTTCCTGTACTAGTGTCAAGGCCGAACCAAGGACAGACTGGGCTTAGCTCAGTTGGTACACCTATGGATTGTTGGAACTTAGACTGAGGAGCAGGGTGTACATGCGAGCCGGTAAGGCAGCTAACCACAAGGGGACAGAGACAGGAGTGACAAAGACTTTGTGGGCGCACCGTCCTCCAACCACGATTTGTTGTGAGAGGTTTGAGTGTGAGGTTGCTCGTCAAAACCCGAAGAAGGGGGAACTTCGTCTGGGTAAGGCGGACCTAGAGGGAGATCTGAGGGGGGGGCATACAACAAATGCTACTGTGCAAGTCGTTCGTCAGACTTCAGGCATAGGGGCGGAAGACTAAACGAACCAGCTAGTGTCTGGGTCCCATCGAAGTTCAAACAAGGTAGTTGAGGTTGTTAGCCGACTTTCTTCCTTCAGAACATCCGTTAAGACCAGAACGGTACAGAGGATACTAGCAGGGCTCCTGCGCAAAATTGACACGCATAAATCAAGGAAGAATCTGACGACCGGGGACTTTTTTTCTTATTCTTGTTTGCAGCGTCTATCGAACCACGGACTGCTTGTTGGAGCGGGTTGATGCCAACATGGAACCACTGAAGAGCGAAGGAGAAGGGGCAAACGAGAGTAGAAAGTATTGTTCTCATCTATGTCTAGGCGGATTCGGACAACCAAAGTGGCTGAAACGGGGGTTTTGACCATCGTGAATGTGATGACAGAGTTAGTTTTTGCGTTGGGTTAGCAGCTCGTTTGCTATAAGTGTCACGGGCTGCGCGGCATGCCCGCACGACTAGCGAGGGAAACGAGGGAGATAGGAAGAGGCAGGCATGACGCAGCAGAAAGTGCATAGCTCGCCCGTTTCTCCATGAAACCGGGCGAACTAAGGGGGGTTCTGAGACGCATTAATCAAACTACGGAACCGGATCTCGGATTAGGAAGTTAGTATTGACCGATGTGATGAAACAACATTGCGTGTGAGAGCCACGATCGCAGGTATGGTGGGAATCGCGAAACAGAGATGTATCTCTCCGTGATTTTGCGGTAGATTCTTTTCTTTTGTTTTTTTGTCGTTCTGTTTTTTTTTTCTTTATTTTTCGTTCTTTTTTTTCCTCTCTTTCTTCTCTCTATCTCATAAAATTTTTCTTTTCCGAGATCGCATGCTTCAGAGATCTGCTTGGACATGTACCTCCTCACGTTTTTAGTAGGAGGTTCATACTCATTTCTGCATATCTTGAACCGTCGATATTATGCTATTCGTTGTGATGTTCATCCCACGTTTGTTGAAGTGCATGCGTTTCCTTCAAAAAATCGGTAATCATCCCCTCAGAGTTTTGTGTGAAAGAGAGAGACAGAGAGAAAAGGTAAGTACTCACCTTGAACTGGCAATGTAGGATGAACCAACAGTCGGGTTGTACAGGACGAACCAATAGTCGAGATGCAGGTCAAATTGTACTAATTCAGTCAAAATTTAACTCATGTTATAGCGGGAGGTTCACTCTCAAACTGTATCATGAAAAAAGGAGGCAGTCTGAGGTCGTAACTTTTCATAAACCAAAGGAAAATCCGTGCTTGATTTTTTGTTCAATCTGGTATGATGGGTTGATCCTCAGATCCGACCATGAGCCAAGGAGGTTGCCAGTTGGTGACTTCCTCATCCACATTACTGTTCAAGATGTTGGTTGGGGCAACGCACCTATTAGAAGAATAACACAGAAGTCCTGAGGCGAGCTCAGCAAAGGCGAGAGTCTCATATGAAACGAAAACGGCAAGGGCTCATTCAGGTTTTGATCTCAGTATGAGCACAGGCTGTGAGGACTCATACCTGGTCTTGGTGATGGTCTGCATGATCGACATCTGCATATACTCTAGTTGCCACGGTGGTGGCAGGTACGTGACTGATTGTGAAAATTAAGTTGGTTCTATACTCTCCCTTCAGTGTCATATTGGTGCTTGTTTACTCTTAAACAACCCCGACTATGTTTTCTGAATGGGTTCAGCTACCTGACTTCCAAAGAAGTGTTGCAATATTGAAACTATGTGTGCGACGGTGGACCAGAAAACTTCGCAGTATTTCGACAACCCATCTCCTTCCATTAGGCGTGGTGCTGCTACAACGACCTGCTGCATGTTGCTGGTTTTTCTTGCTGCTACGTCGCATTTTGTTGTTTTGAGTGCACCTTTCCTGCGCAGTTGTTGAACCGTGCATTCGATGTTCTGCTGGGGGACTTGCTACTCGTTCAGAATGAAAAGAGCTACAAACGACCATTTCGTCAAAATGGACATCTTTTACTTTTTGAACGAAATTGAAACTGAGTTTTTTGGCCGAAACTCGTCAAAATTTCTTGTTCTTGAGGGTCCAACGTTTTACAAACACTGGACCCCCTGGTTGTACATGGACCTAGCTTAAGACCAGGCACCTCCGGGCAGGACTGCCTGGAGGTACCTGGTCTCAAGCTAGGTCCATGTACAGCCAGGGGGTCCAGCGTTTTACAAACGCCGGACCCTCAAATTTTAACGAGTTTTCGGTTAAAAAACTCGGTTTCAATTTCGTTCAAAAAATAAAAGATGTCAATTTTGACGAAATGGCAGTTTACAGAGCTTGTTGTCGTACACTACTGCGGTACATTGTTGTTGCGCATGGTTGTTGTGCCTACAGTATTTGCTGACTGCAGTTGTAATTGGT